GGGGCAGTGGATGAAACACAGGGGGCACCAGGGGCCAGTGGATGAAACACAGGGGGCACCAGGGGGCAGTGGATGAAACACAGTCTGGGCATTTTCAGAGCCAAGCGGAAGGGTGGTGCACAGAGGTTGGAGACGTTGGTTGGAGCGCCCTGTTGGAGGGTGGCCCGGCGGCTGGGCCGAGTTTCTGTTTGGACGTCGCCGGTGCGTCTCGTTTCCTCATGCGTTCCGGATAGGCCGGCTAGGGGGGCCCAACGATTGGACATGTTTGGAGCTGTTTGGACGGAATTTCCTGCTCGTCAAAGTTTTTGGCCAAAAGGCAATGATGTCCCTACCAAACATGTAAACGGTCCCTAATTTGGCTCCATTTTGCAATCCTTCAACAACATTACCACACGAAAAGTGTTCAATTCAGCTACTTAGCGACTTTGTGGTTCCTGCTTCTGACGTGGGTCCATGGCCATGGATGGCCATCCATGGCCTACGGATGGTTGATAAATTCAACGCAGGCAGAGGGAGGATAGCATGTGATGGCTCCAGAATCTCAGCCCATGTTCCTAAACAAATGCAAAATATGTATAAATATAATGCACTTGCATTAAGCAAGTTAAACTCGCCTTGGGCAGTGCCTCTTTGAAGCTGTAGATGCCCAGAGAAACTTGGGCTTTTGAGGACGGATCATGATCCAACCTTCCTTTCATGTTCAACTTGTGAGGTCGTCCTTGGCTTCCAACAGCGCGTCGCGCGGAAAACCCGCGCAAGACCGATCATTTGCTTGAGATGAACGGGATAGCTATCCCAGGTGGTACACGTGTTGCAGTGGGGGTTGTCAGGGGAGTAGAGAAAAGTATACCGTTCCATAATGCAGGCTATCCTGTTCGACAAGAAATTTGGCTCCGTAATTTGATGTAACTCAACCTCGCCGAGAAACAAATTCCTCGACCTACACAAAATACAAACAAACAAACAAACGAACAACGAACGAACGAACGAACGAACCAACGAACCAACGAACCAACGAACCAACCAACCAACCAACCAACGAACCAACGAACCAACGAACACCCTAGCAAAAATGCAAAAATAATAAGTCATTCCAACAAAAAACAATGCCTACCCTCAGAATTCAGACCCTTCTCCAATGGAAAGGGGTAAGTCGGAAGTGCGACCCTTTGCCTCCGGGCAGTCGCGGGCTCGATGGTCGGGTGAGCCGCACTCGTAACAGAGCTTGGCATCTTTCCCGATTCCCTTCGATCGTGGGTCGAAGGCCGTCTTCGTGCTTTCCTTTGCGGTGGATCGTCGCTCCGTGAGCTTCACCTCGGGGAACCGCCCTGAAAAGATCGTCATGTCGGAGTACTCAGTTCCCTCGCAGGCTCGAGCCCAATTGCGTTCGGCAAATTCCACCAAATCGCTCAGGATCTGCACGGCGTCGCCTTCCGGCACGCACTCCAGGCTTCCCCACCCCTCCACAGCAACCACGGGTTCGTTGCGTGTCCGGGCCAGTGAGCACCACATCGAAAACTGCTTCAAATTGAAGAAGCGATTGTGGTGACACACAAACGACTCGTCCTCGATTGACAAGGCTTCGGTCGGGTCCCGAGCCCATCATAACCATCATCATCCACTCGTGCCCTGGTAATAGGATAGACCCAAGTGACGGATGGGGTACTGTGGTCTTTTGACTTCAAGTTTGTGGCCTTTTTGGGAGCCGGCGAAATGCCCAGGATGGGTGGCTGAAAGTCGCCCTGAGGGGCATGCAGCGTTCGACCGCCAGGGTCGAAAGGACGTGGAGCTGGCTGGACCGTGTTTGATTCGATCACGGGGAAGCAGTGAGATCAAAAACCTTCCCATATTCCTTCATCCGCTCACTCACTCACTCACTCACTCACTCCACACTCACTCACTCACTCACTCACTCACTCACTCCACACTCACTCACTCACTCACTCACTCACGCATTCACTGCCCTCACTCACCCGCTCACACCCTCACACCTCTCAACGCTCACACACAGACACGCACACACACACACACACTCTCTCTCTCTCTCTCGCACTCGCCCTCACACTCACACTCACACTCACCACGATCTCCACCTTCATCACCACCATCACCTCTCTGGACCCCAATGCATTTAGATCTGCTAAAGGCAAGATGAACGAAAAGAGGAGGAAAAACCGTGGCAAAACCCCCGCTGGCAATGAAGGTGGATTCCTCTGAGAAGGAATCGTTCCCTCATCCCATCAGACCAAACTCTTCCCATTTCCCCACTCTTCCAGCCTCACCGAGTCGAGCCGTGGCCGCTCGGTCGTGCCGATCCGGCATCGTCGCCCCCGAGATATCTATGGCAGCTGTTGCCTCAAGGCAGAATGCCCTGGGCCGACATGCTTGACGATGAGGAACCGTCAGATAACCCTGGCCGCTCGGTCGTGCCGAGGAGGGCGAATCTCTCGCCCACCAGAATGCGGGGACACCTGGTGGCCGCGGATTTCGGACTCACTTGTGACGTGGAGCTGCTGGCTCACTTGTGACGCGCCCGTGTTTCCGTGTGCCCGTATGCGCCCGTGAGTAGTAGTAGTAGTAGGAGTAGTAGTAGTAGTAGTAGGAGTACTGGTGGTGGTAGTAGTAGTAGTATTAGTAGTAGTAGTGGTGGTGGTGGTGGTACTAGTCATCGTCGCCGGCGTCGTCGTCGTCGTCGTCGGAGTAGTAGTAGTAGTCGTCGTAGTAGTAGTTGTAGTTCTGGTCCTAGTCCTAGTCCTGTCCTAGTCGTAGTCGTAGCGGTAGTGCGTCGTAGTCGTAGTCGTAGTCGTAGGCGTAGGCGTAGGCGTAGTAGTAGTAGTAGTAGTAGTAGTAGTAGTAGTAGTGGTAGTAGTGGTAGTAGTGGTAGTAGTAGTAGTAGTACTGGTACTGGTACTGGTACTGGTACTTGTAGTGGTTCTGGTTCTGGTTCTGGTACTGGTACTGGTACTGGTAGTGGTAGTGGTAGTCGTAGTAGTAGTAGTAGTAGTAGTAGTAGTAGTGGTAGTGGTACTGGTACTGGTACTGGTAGTGGTTCTGGTACTGGTACTGGTACTGGTAGTGGTAGTCGTAGTAGTAGTAGTAGTAGTAGTAGTGGTAGTGGTAGTGGTAGTGGTAGTAGTAGTAGTAGTAGTAGTAGTATAGTAGTGGTGGTGGTAGTGGTAGTGGTAGTAGTAGTAGTAGTAATAGTAGTAGTAGTAGTAGTGGTAGTAGCAGTAGTAGTAGTAGTAGTAGTAGTGGTGGGTAGTGGGTAGCAGGTAGTGGTAGTAGTAGTAGTGGTAGTAGTAGTAGTGGTAGTAGTAGGAGTAGTAGTAGTAGCAGTAGCAGCGGCAGTAGCAGTAGCAGTAGCAGTAGCAGTAGTAGCAGCAGTAGAAGTAGCATAGCAGTTTTAGGGGTAGTGGTAGTAGTAGTAGTAGTAGTAGTAGTAGTGGTAGTGGTAGTGGTAGTGGTAGTCGTATAGTAGTAGTAGTAGTAGTAGTAGTAGTAGTAGTAGTAGTAGTAGTAGTAGTAATAGTAGTAGTAGTAGTGGTAGTAGTAGTAGTGGTAGTAGTAGTGGTAGTAGTAGTAGTCGTCGTCGTCGTAGTCGCAGTCGTCGTCGTAGTCGTAGTCGTGGTAGTAGTATAGTCGTAGTCGTAGTCGTATAAGTAGTCGTAGTCGTAGTCGTATAGTCGTAGGCGTAGTCGTAGTCGTAGTCGTAGTCGTAGTAGTAGTGGTAGTAGTAGTAGTAGCAGTAGTAGTGGTAGTAGTAGTGGTAGTAGTGGTAGTAGGAGGAGTAGTAGTAGTAGTACATGGCAATTCGCTCGGGCAACAAACGCCGCGGGTATACTCGAAACCGAGTATTGGTAACGTAAATGTGGCTCTGCTGGCGTGCAAACATGACAGCTCACCTGGCAGGATTGTGAAAGTTGCTCACAGTCTCGCTAACTTCACGTCATGGCCATGCCACTGTGAACCCGGAATCCAAAAGCATAGATTTTCCCAAGCTGCCAAGGATGGAGGATCAGGCGGCCCTTGATTGCGAATTGGATGGTTGAAAGGGGTACAACTCGGAAGGCTCTTAAAAAGCAAAAGCAGCAACAGTAGATTAGCAGCAGCAGCAGTAGATAGCAGTAGTAAAGAAACTTGGGAAGCACGAGGGGGCAGTGGATGAAACACGGGGGGCACGAGGGGGCACCAGGGATGAAACGTGTTGGGCATGATGGGGCAGTGGATGAAGCACGGCGCAAGAGGGGGCAGTGGATGAAACGGAAAGGGGAGGCATAGGGGCCACGAAGGTGTACAGGCCTTCGGAGTGTGTCCTGCTTGGCCGCACAATGGGCCCTGTTTTCTGCACCTTGTCCGGGCCTGTCTTGGTCGTCTAAAGCCGTGCATCCACCGAGCGAGCCGGGGGCCCGTTGAACGTGTTTGCCCAGGTCCGGAGCACCAGCCACAAAAGTTGGCCCTTGGCCGGAGCATGACTGTCCACGCTTCGAGTGACTATGGGTGAATTTCCCCCGCACCCAAGCAATGATAACTACTTTGGTTCCGGGTTCTTTTGCAACTTTCATCCTGGGTGAGGGGGACAACCTACGTCACGATGGCAAAGAACACGTCGAGACCCGAACCAGTCGCAGAACGGAATCGCTTCGGAGAAAGGGCTGCTTGATGAGCAGTCGTGAGAGTGCACAAGGGCGGTGGTGGAACGATTGGTGCTTGCAAGAGTCGGTGCTAAAACACAAAACCTGCGCGGAACACAACCAACCTGCACATTGTGGACACAAAGGACAAGGGTGTTTGACACCTACCATTCCCATTGTTTCTCGAGTGTTGTTTGAAGCCATTGACCACTATGATCCCTTATATGGCATGGAAATATGTGACCATATGCTTATGGTCACGCTTTAGAGTGTTTGGAAAGATACCTAATGATCGATTGGAGAAGTCACGCTAGTAACCTCGTCGGGTCGCAGAATTGTAGGAAGTGGTGTCCTCCTAGTTTGTTTAGAAAACGTGTTTTTCTTTTAGCGCCATCCTTTCCCTTGGCAAAAGACACCTGTGTATTTGCGGAAAATGCAGACAAGGCAGCACTGGCCTTTACTCAACTGTGCTTGGTACACGACAAAAAAAGGGATGAAATCCGAGGACCATCACCAAGATATATCCCTGTGGTTTCGCTGGGAAGGATGACCATCCCCATGTAATCATTGTTGACCGCATCACATTTGCCCCTGTTCATAAACAAGCTTCCTTTGTCCTAATAAAGCGGAACAGTGCGGGGGGGTTATTCTCATGGGGGTGGCTCGAACGTTCATGAGAATGGCGTGCCAAAAGTTCAAGGTATTACAATACTGTATAGGACAGCTGAAGAGATGTTTTTGGAACCTAAAGGATGGGTTGTAGACTCTAGAATCACAGATGATGTATCATAAATTCATTGCCCGCCATGCACACCCTAGTCAGGGTCTCGTACAGATCTCCGTGACCTTCTTTGGTTGTGGCAGGACTTTGACTTGGCTCCGCACCGAAGCGCCATCTCCTTGCAGTTGAATGAGCCAGGGTGCCCTGTTTGACGTCGACCATGCGAGCCGCGTCGGTTCATGATATGCATAAGAACGCAGAAGTTGTGGAAAGTCACCGATGTTCTGCTATCGCTTGGTGATTTTGTGCTCTATGGTGGTTGGCTAGGCGAGTTGTTGCAGTTCGGTGGACACTGCAGCGTCAACGGTGAGCTCTTGCGTGAGTTGTTTGTGAATGATACCACCCTCAATGCCAGCGCTAGTACCTACCAGTGCCAAAGAACTTTAGTATGCAACCAAAGGTATCTGGGATCATCCCTGTGGTCAGAATCTTTGTTGTGACTGACCAACTTCCTATATCTTCCTATCATTTTTCCAAAAGGAATATAAAAGGAATATGAAACATGATCCACAAAGGTATGCATAATTGCCAAATTATACATATAAAGATATATGTGTATTATGATATGTGTCTATGTCGTCAGTGTTCATGGAATTTGTTCGCTCGACCCCCGGCCCTTCCCGTGCCAGGCTGAAAAGCCCCCGCTGACTGGAGAAAAGGGCGGACACTCCACTGCCACGGGTCGTTCCGCAGATCGTTCCCGGTGCCCGGACGGTTCCAACGATCGCTGTGCGTGGATCTGGTCGGAGGGTTTCCGGTGACGACGGTGGAGACGGTGGAGACGGCGACAGCATGAACAGCCATGGAACTATTTGGAATTGCTTGACATGCAAATCTTGGAGTTGGGCCGGCGAAGGTCAAAGCACCACAGGCTCCGGTGCCAGTGACAGTCATGTTTTTCGCAGTGTCATTGGCCACATCCACGTTCTTGGCCAGCGTTGTTGGCTTGGACATTTTAGCTACAAGGAGGCAAGACCAGGAATTTTGAGCAAGAGGTGCCACTCCAAGCACAGTTAGATACATATGTTCAACCTCATGCGCTCAACGTTTCTACATCTAAGATGTCTATCTAGTATGTAAACATATGGGCAGACCTCGCATCGCGCCAAGCTGCAGCGCGCACAAAGTGGAAGATCCTTGACCGGCCGTTCGGCGCTCTTCCGCCCGCGTGACCAGTGCGCCGGACGCAGCGCGAGCGACGTGGGAGCGGCGCGAGCGACGTGGGAGCGGCACGCCGCTTGGGAGCGACCGGAGGGAAGTCGAGCAGGTGGTGGTTCTGTGGTTTTTTTCAAGGAAAGCACACCACCTTTTTGGGTTTCAAAGGCACAGAAGGCCGTTTGGGAAGATGCACCATACCCTGACCTACCCTGTGAGCTACTTTGAAAAGCATCCTCATTGAGTAGAGCACTGGGACACAGGGGGAGTATTTCCCTTTCATTCGACAGTGGGATATAGTAGGATTGGCAAGGGACCCCCCATGTATTTTGTCCAGTTCTGCTAGAGCAATTGCACCCGTTACCCTTGTCATTTGGTTCATTTGGAACCTCTCACCTCCAAATATGAAGTTTGGGGCTCCTTTTGAGACCAGGCCGTTAAGTATCTTGCGCAAAAACGCATGCATGCCTTTCCTCGAAACTAGCCTGGTTGCTATGTTGCTTGCAGTGTTCAGGCAATGGAGAACTGGCCGGGCTCTGAGATGTATGACACATCAAGATTATGTGAAGAATATGATTTGATGTAGCAAAGAGCCGCAATCCACCATGTGACTACGTCCGGAACCATTCCGACTCCGCTCCTACCTTGCAGAGAGTTGGGCGTCGGGGACAGTGACAGAGCTGGGCTCATCTTTGTCGTTGTTCCAATAGGACGGAGTGAGAAGCACATCTCCTGCTAGTCTTTGTTTCTGAGAAAGCAGACATCGAGGATGGTGACATTTGCGAGTTTCATGTCGAACGAATCGGGTGTGACAGCAACTCACATTCGCCGTGGTTTCCATGCTTTTTCAGATGTGGGGATCGGTCCGGTCAACACCATGTTCGCCCAACCCGGTAGGTATCCTGGTGTTGCCCTGACCCCTGTGGTCCACTGAGGGAGATGTCGCAGCCAGCTGAGTGCGGCAGCCCAGCTGGTGGGATGTCCTTGCTATTGGTGGTCTACATAGATGGTTACTGCTTCCGAGACATACTTAGATAGTATTGACTTTTCATGACTTTTCTATCTACCTAGCGCTTCCAACGGGTGCCCTGTTTGGAGACCTGTAAGTAGGGAAAGGTTGTCTATTGGACACCCAGACAGAATGACCCTGGTACTGTATGTTCTTTCCAGGAATCGCACCCACCAAGTCCCTACTTTTTCCGTTGGACGTCTCGAGAACTTCTTCTCCCTGGCACGTTGCACGTGTCACCGGTGCCCGGGTCTCCGCTTACCCCTGCGGGTCGAAGCCGGGTCGACGTCAGGGCGACGCAGACGGTGCAAGTGACCCAGACCCAAGTCTTCAATCCGCCGGGAGGGCCCAGCAACGGAGGTCGCCCGCGCCGCGATTTCGCCGGACGCGAGAAGCGAGCGAGGATGGGTCCGGCCATGGTGGAAAGCGGAAGTGAATTCTACGGGAACTGGGATCCACTGGGATTCTGCTGGCAAAAGTGGGTGAAGTCGAACTGAAGCGTGCAACTATGATGACTATCATGACATCGAGCAGGACAGTAGACATGGAATCCTCTTTGAGGTGAAGATGAAAAACCGACTCTGCAGGAGGTGTATATTTTTGACGCAGCATTTATTTTTGCAGTCCAGATTCCCTTGTTATTTAAACAGTTGTTGTTGCCTTGACAGGAGGTTGAGCAGAGTTTCTGCAGGCAGAAGTGAAGAGCTGCAGCTATCAATGCATGAGCAGCAACAACCTGGTCCATCTCAGGAATTCGCAGCCAGTAGAAGTGGCGCCGGAACCAGTCCTGGCCGGGCCGCCGAGAAACCTGATGGGTTCAGTTCTGAGTTCCAGCCTTGAAGTTCAACGATTTCTGGAGTTCAAAGAAGCTTGGCGATGCCAAGCGACTCCACGGTTGTGGCTTTCTGGAAACCCCCAGACCGAAATGAGGAAACGGACATGGGTGTTAGGGTGTGTTTCATGGGCCTCTCTGAACAGCGTTGGATCTGTAGGAACAGTAGGAACCAAGCAGTCCTGACCGAGAAAAGCGTGTTTCAGCGACGCTAAGTGGTGGATCAGATTGGAAACCTAACCCGGGCAGATCTGATCCACCCACTTAGTCTCAGTGAGTGTTGAAGTTGCACTTGCCTGGTGCAAGATTCCAGGACGAGCAGCTGTGGGGGAACCAGTTCGTCTCATTCCCCGACACCTGAAGGGCGAGCAAGCCTGTCTCGGTGCACTCACCCTGCTCGGGTGGAAGAAGAGAAACACTGGTGAAATGGCTTTTGAAAGGCGGCCCAGATCTAGAACATCATGATCCCCCTGGGCGCGATACAGCGTTGGATTTGGCTCGACGGTTGTTACGTGTTTCAAGCAAGGTTGCAAGAAAGGTTGACCGGTTGACCGGCCGTGACAATTGGTGAAGGGACCCGCTATAGTATATTAGGCAGCTAGTAAGATTAGTTGTTTCATTTCGGATGGGTGCCCCAGCTGCAGGGAAGCTCAACATTGAAGCCTCCAAGTCAACCTTTGGAAGACGGTTTTCCTCTACAAGCCGGTCATGTTTTCAGGTTCCATTTGTGTGGTCCATGATTCACACATTTGGAAGGAGTGGATGGGATTGCTGGGTGGAACTGGTTTGTAGCAGTTCTGTGGATGTGTGAGCAAGCCAAAACAGCGGAGTCGGTTGGCATCGCCCTCCCAGTCATGTCCTTTTCATTTCGAGGGATTTCCAGACCGTGGCAAAAGACCCGCTTCTGTCCAAGAGTAGACACAAGAGCGACCGGCCTCCCTGTGGGAATCAATGCATCTTAGACAGGAACTCACGCACTGATTCGTTCGTCGGGCATTTTTGCTGTCACATAAATTCACAGTGAGGTGGCTATCGCTGGGGCAGATCCTCACGAGTTCAAGTTTACGGAAGAGATCAAGGAGGCACGGGTTGCAGCGTTAAAACGCATGGTGGAGCAGCACTGAGTTGGCGTGGTTGGAGTTACAAGTTGCAGGTGGATCTGCAAATCAGCGACAAAGATCCACACTGGTTGTCTAAAGTCGGGGGTTGCCATGGCGATGTGCGATCCACGAGGCAAACATGAGCAGAGCAGATCTTTTTTTGGAGAGAAATGGGATACAAACCAAAGCAGTGTTTTGCAAACCAAAGCCTTTCACACATTCAGTTGGTTCAGTTTTTTGATGCGCCACCTTTATTTTCGACAAAAGACTCCGGACCACCACGTCGAAATCGACATCGACTGGCAACAAGAACGTGGAAGATCTATGTGATTTTGCGAGGGTAAAGAGGGGGACAGAGAGGGAGCAGAGCAGGGTTTGATACCGGCTCCAAGGTGCAGAGTAACATGATAATTGAAGAGCCCTCTTCCATGGAGTAATGGTTTCAAGTCTGTTCAACGAAGGGTAGCAGTAGGGGACTGCTTCCAGCCTGCCACAATGGCAAACTTAAATAACATAGTAACATCATAGAGATTTCCGTCCTTCTTCAGTAAG